AATCCACCAACCACACCAACCACACCAATCCACCAACAACAGCAATCCACCAACCACACGAATCCACAACCAACACCAATCCACCAACCACACCAATCCACCAACCACACCAACCACACCAACCACACCAATCCACCAACTACACCAATCCACCAACCACACTAATCCACAACCAACACCAATCCACCAACCACACCAATCCACCAACCACACCAATCCACCATCCACACCAATCCACTTACCACACCAATCCACAAACCACACCAATCCACCAACCACACCAATCCACCATCCACAACAATCCACCAACCACACCAATCCACCAACCGCACCAATCCAGCAACAACACCAACCACACCAATCCACCAACCACACCTATCCACCAACCACACCAATCCACCAACCACAACAATCAACCAACCACACCAATCCACCAACCACACCAATCCACCAGCCACACTAATCCACCAACCACACCAACCACACCAATCCACCGACCACACCAATCCACCAACCACACTAATCCACAACCAACACCAATCCACCAACCACACCAATCCACCAACCACACCAAACACACCAACCACACCAACCACACCAATCCACCAACCACACCAATCCACCAACCACACCAATCCACCAGCCACACTAATCCACCAACCACACCAACCACACCAATCCACCAACAACAGCAATCCACCAACCACACGAATCCACAACCAACACCAATCCACCAACCACACCAATCCACCAACCACACCAACCACACCAACCACACCAATCCAACAACTACACCAATCCACCAACCACACTAATCCACAACCAACACCAATCCACCAACCACACCAATCCACCAACCACACCAATCCACCATCCACACCAATCCACTTACCACACCAATCCACAAACCACACCAATCCACCAACCACACCAATCCACCATCCACAACAGTCCACCAACCACACCAATCCACCAACCACACTAATCCACCAACCACACCAATCCACCAACCACACCAATCCACCAACCGCACCAATCCACCAAACACACCAATCCACCAACCACGGCAATCCACCAACGACAACAATCTACCAACCACACCAATCCACCAACCACACTTATCCACCAACCACACCAATCCACCAATCTCACCAATCCACCAACCACACCAATCCACCAACCACACCAATCCACCAACCACACCAATCCACTAGCCACACTAATCCACCAACCACACCAACCACACCAATCCACCGACCACACCAATCCACCAACCACACCAATCCACCAACCACACCAAACACACCAACCACACCAACCACACCAATCCACCAACCACACCAATCCACCAACCACACCAATCCACCAGCCACACTAATCCACCAACCACACCAACCACACCAATACACCAACAACAGCAATCCACCAACCACACGAATCCACAACCAACACCAATCCACCAACCACACCAATCCACCAACCACACCAACCACACCAACCACACCAATCCACCAACTACACCAATCCACCAACCACACTAATCCACAACCAACACCAATCCACCAACCACACCAATCCACCAACCACACCAATCCACCATCCACACCAATCCACTTACCACACCAATCCACAAACCACACCAATCCACCAACCACACCAACCCACCATCCACAACAATCCACCAACCACACCAATCCACCAACCGCACCAATCCACCAACAACACCAACCACACCAATCCACCAACCACACCAATCCACCAACCACACCAATCCACCAACCACAACAATCCACCAACCACAACAATCCACCAACCACACCAATCCACCAACCACACTAATCCACCAACCACACCAATCCACCAACCACACCAATCCACCAACCACACCAATCCACCAACCACACCAATTCACCAACCACACCTATCCCCCAACCACACCAATTAACCAACCACGCCAATCCACCAACCACACCAATCCACCAACCACACCAATCCACCAACCACACCAATCCACCAACCACGACAATCCACCAACCACAACAATCTACCAACCACACCAATCCACCAACCACACTCATCCACCAAACACACCAATCCACCAATCTCACCAATCCACCAACCACACCAATCCACCATCCACACCAATCCACCAACCACACCAATCCACCAGCCACACTAATCCACCAACCACACCAATCCACCGACCACACCAATCCACCAACCACACTAATCCACAACCAACACCAATCCACCAACCACACCAATCCACCAACCACACTCACCAACCACACCAACCACACCAACCACACCAATTTACCAACCACACCAATCCACCAACCACACCAATCCACCAGCCACACTAATCCACCAACCACACCAACCACACCAATCCACCGACCACACCAATCCACCAACCACACTAATCCACGAACCAACACCAATCCACCAGCCACACCAATTTACCAACCACACCAAACACACCAATCCACCAACCACACCTATCCACCAACCACACCAATCCACCAACCACACTAATTTACAACCAACACCAATCCACCAACCACACCAATCCACCAACCACACCAATCCACCAACCACACCAATCCACTTACCACACCAATCCACAAACCACACCAATCCACCAACCACACCAATCCACCATCCACAACAATTCACCAACCACACCAATCCACCAACCACACTAATCCACCAACCACACCAATCCACCAATCACACCAATCAACCAACCACACCAATCCACCAACCACACTAATCCACCAACCACACCAATCCACCAACCACACCAATCCACCAACCACACCAATCCACCAACCACACCAATCCACCAACCACACCAATCCACCAATCACATCAATCCACCCACCACACCAATCCACCAACCACACCAATCAACCAACCACACCAATCCACCATCCACACCAATCCACCAACCACACTAATCCACCAATCACACCAACCACACCAATCCACCGACCACACCAATCCACCAACCAAACTAATCCACAACCAACACCATCCACCAACCACACCAATCCACCAACCACACCCATCCACCAACCACACCAATCCACCAACCACACCAATCCACCAACCATACCAATCCACCAACCACACTAATCCACCAACCACACTAATCCACCAACCACACCAACCACACCAATCCACCGACCACACCAATCCACCAACCACACTAATCCACAACCAACACCAATCCACCAACCACACCAATCCACCAATCACACCAACCACACCAACCACACCAATCCACCAACAACAGCAATCCACCAACCACACTAATCCACAACCAACACCATTCCACCAACCACACCAATCCACCAACCACACCAATCCACCAACCAACACCAATCCACCAACCACACCAATCCACAAACCACACCAATCCACCAACCACACCAATCCACCATCCACAACAGTCCACCAACCACACCAATCCACCAACCACACTAATCCACCAACCACACCAATCCACCAATCACACCAAACCACCAACCACACCAATCCACCAATCACACCAATCCACCAACCACACCATTCCACCAACAACACCAACCGCACCAACCACACCAATCCACCAACCACACCAATCCACCAACCACGCCAATCCACCAACCACACCAATCCACCAACCATACCAATCCACCAACCACACCAATCCACCAACCACGCCAATCCACCATCCACCCTAATCCACCAATCACACCAACCACTCCAATCCACCAACCACACTAATCCACAACCCACACCAATCCACCAACCACACCAATCTACCAATCACACCAATCCACCAACCACACTAATCCACAACCAACACCAATCCACCAACCACACCAATCCACCAATCACACCAACCACACCAACCACACCAACCACACCAATCCACCAACCACACCAATCCACCAACCACACCAATCCACCAACCACACCAATCCACCAACCACACTAATCCACAATCAACACCAATCCACCAACCACACCAATCCACCAACCACACCAATCCACCATCCACACCAATCCACTTACCACACCAATCCACAAACCACACCAATCCACCAACCACACCAATCCTTCATCCACAACAATCCACCAACCACACCAATCCACCAACCACACCAACCACACCAATCCACCAACCACACCAACCACACCAATCCACCAACCACACTAATCCACCAATCACACTAATCCACCAATCACACCAATCCACCAACCACACCAATCCACCAATCACACCAATCTACCAACCACACCAATCCACCAACCTAAGTAAATACACCAACCCAGGCTTGATTTTAAATAGTTAATGAGCTAACTATTGATGGAAGTGCTGATCGTTTCGTCTGTAGCGTTATTGTTCGGATCCATAATGAAAAGGGGCCCTTTAGTTGTGAGCCTAAATGACGGGAGCATTTGTAGGAAGCTGAACTGATATGTTGCTGGCCCTTTTGATCGTTTTGTCAAATCCTTTGCTGTTTAAATTTGCTTCTACCCGTCACCCCCCCCCCCCCTTCTCTCCGCCACCTCCCCAAGTAATTAGTTCCCCCCCCCCCCCTCCACATCCGTTTGGTGCGCAGATCGTCTGGTTGAATTCTCTTTGTCTTGAGAAAATTTAATATCGTCCCAACCGGATTTCTTTCCTGAAACGGTTCTTATCGATACTAACGTCTTGGTATCGCACAACGACCCCTGTACAAACCCAAGTCCGAATACTCGACTACTTGATAATCGATTTTCCCGGGCAAATTATTTCATCCTAAACGTGTCGACTGTCCCCTCTTTGGGGTGATAGTCAGCCCCCGAATAAGGGACGTAATTGTTTTAAAATAATATCCAGGGAGAGCACCGAGCACAGAAAATATTTACAGGGTGAACAACCCTTTTATAAGACAACCCTTTTATAAGACAACCCTTTCATATGACAACTCTTTCATGCAAACCTCGCATTTTAAAAAAAAACTCTAGTAAAACAAACCTTTAATTAAACCACAAAACAATTAAATCAAAATATTTCTTACACGATTTTTGTGATTTATTTCTGACTTTATTTCTGTGACTTCCCTTTGTGACTTTTTTTCTGTGACTTTTTTTCCTAGCAAAAACTGACTTTTTTCTTTGTTGTTTTTTTTTCCTGTGACATTTTTTTCCCTCCACTGAAACTGCTGGACCTTTATAACGACGCTTAAAACACTGGACCACGCTATAACGACGCTTAAAACACAGTGAGAGAATAGACGCCATCTTCAGCCATACGCAGCTCACTCTGTAGAGTGTCGTAACCTGCTGTAGCAGACGGCTTGGTCTCGTCAGCTGACGTCACGTGACCGTCTGTCACCGCACGGACGCCAGAGATGTTCATGTAGATGTTGGTGTCGTGCATTTCCTGGGCGAGCACGTGACTCCCGGAGTTTGTGGCCAGCTCTCCGCCTCGTCTGCTCGCTGAAACAACATGAACATTTCGGTCTAAAGAAACGTGTGAACAAGGTTGGTTCTATTGTCAATAGCACCATGAACATTTCCGTCTGAAGAAACGTGTGAACAAGGTTGGTTCTATTGTCAATAGCAACATGAACATTTCCGTCTAAAGAAACGTGTGAACAAAGTTGGTTCTATTGTCAATAGCAACATGAACACTTCCGTCTAAAGAAACGTGTACAAGGTTGGTTCTATTGTCAATAGCAACATGAACATTTCCGTCTGAAGATACGTGTGAACAAGGTTGGTTCTATTGTAAATAGCAACATGAACATTTCGGTCTAAAGATACGTGTGAACAAGGTTGGTTCTATTGTCAATAGCAACATGAACATTTCCGTCTGAAGATAAGTGTGAACAAGGTTGGTTCTATTGTCAATAGCAGTGTAGGTCTTGGTACAGAACATTTAGAATTTGGCCAAAGAGAGCATTTAGAAAGTAGAAAAAACAGCAGAACAAACATAGAAACATAACACACATGGCAGCTAATACAGATTAAACTAAACAAGACCAACACAAGAATGTAATGTAAATAAACAAGACCAACACAAGAATGTAATATATGTAAACAAGACCAACACAAGAATGTAATGTAAATAAACAAGACCAACACAAGAATGTAATGTAAATAAACAAGACAAATACAAGAATGTAATGTAAATAAACAAGACAAATACAAGACTGTAATGTAAATAAACAAGACCAACACAAGAATGTAATGTAAATAAACAAACAAACCTCTGAGTTTTACAGAGAGCAGGACCGTCAGAGTAGAAAGTCCTGCCACTATGAAACATAGGACACCAATAACAGCATACATATTTAGTGACTTGTCGTTTCTATCGACTGGGGAGATAGATACGTAGGCTATCACTAAATGTCTACGTCTACGCCTACGAACAATTTATATATATATATATATATATGTATATATATATATATATATATATATATATATATATATATATATATATATATATATATATATATATATATATATATATATATATATATATATATATATATATATATATATATATGTATGTATGTATATGTATATATACATATATATATAACTTATTTTTTACTAATTTATTTATTTATTTATTTATTTAAATTTATTTATTTATTTATTTCAATTTATTTATTTATTTATTTATTTTATTTGTTTTATTTATTTATTTATTTATTTATTTTATTTTATTTTTTTAGTTTTTATTTATTTATTTATTTATTATTTTTTTGTTAATTTATTTATTTATCTATTTATTTATTTATTTTTTATTCATTCATTCATTCATTTATTCATTCATTCATTCATTCATTCATTCATTCATTCATTCATTCATTCATTTATTTATTTATTTATTTATGTATTTATTTATTTATTTATTTATTTATTTATTTATTTATTTATTTATTTATTTATTTATTTATTTATTTATTTATTTATTTAAATTTATTTATTTATTTATTTGGTTATTTGGTTATTTGGTTATTTATTTATTTATTTATTTGTGAATTAGTAAAGTATATGTAATGTGTAAGAAGAAATGTTTATGAAATGTTTATGAAATGAGATGCAGAACTAAGATAAGTAACTGAGCAACCAACCAGCTTCGACTTGACAAATAAACTCTGCCAGATCTGTTGGGTAAAGCCAGGTCAGCCCTTGTCGTGTTAGGGCTAAAGACGATCTTTTCTTTAGCACAGGTTCGGCGCTCTGCTCAGATGGAGAAGGTAGTGCATGGTCAGAAAACAAAGAGTACCAGGCGGGGGGAGAGTTTAATTTGTTTACCATACACACACACACACACACATATATATATATATATATATATATATATATATATATATATATATATATATATATATATATATATATAGGTGGGTCTATATTAAACTATATATATATATATATATATATATATATATATATATATATATATATATATATATATATATATATATACACACTAATATATATATATATATATATATATATATATATATATATATATATATATATATATATATATATATATATATATATATATATATATGTATGGGTCTATATTAAAGTATATATATACTATATATATATATATATATATATATATATATATATATATATATATATATATATATATATATATATATAAGCGCGAATGAATCATATCGATGTTAAAATTGTTATTCATAGGAAGCTAAATATTTTTTAACTCTAGGCTTGTGACACAAATAACATTTTGGTTGTCCATATATGTGGGAGGGGGTTGTTATAACCCTTCTACCACCCCTGCCTACCCCACCCTGCCTATCCCACCCTGCACGCCCCACCTCTGTGTTGTACTGACCTGCTTAAGCCAGCTGAGGTCACTGACCTCCACGTACACACCAGTGACGTCATATCGTCTCAGCATATTTTCTGGCGGGAAAATATTTGGATAGCCCGTGATATGGTCACGTGGTTGTGAGATGGGACGGTACTTAAACATGGATTAAAACAGGGGCGGAACTATCATAGTACTTAAACATTTATTAAAACAGGGGCGGAACTATCATAGTACTTAAACATGGATTAAAACAGGGGCGGGACTATCATGGTACTTAAACATGGATTAAAACAGGGGCGGAACTACCACGGTACTTAAACATTGATTAAAACAGGGGTGGAACTATCACGGTACTTAAACATGGATTAAAACAGGGGCGGGACTATCATGGTACTTAAACATGGATTAAAACAGGGGCGGGACTATCATGGTACTTAAACATGGATTAAAACAGGGGCGGAACTATCATGGTACTTAAACATTGATTAAAACAGGGGCGGAACTATCATGGTACTTAAACAGTTATTAAAACAGGGGCGGAACTACCAAGCCACCAGCCCCGGTGAATATCGGGGTGTGCAGGCTGTTTATGGGGCCTAACATTTAACCGAGTATGTTTTTATTCCAATTTTGATTTTGGTGCGCCTTGCTAGTTCCGCCACAGGAATAAAAAGTTCTAGACATGAAGAAAAAGTAAGCCTATAGTGTTATAAAGGATAATTAAAACCGCTAAAAACAAACAATTTCATAATTGGACGATAAAAGTAATCTACAAATCGAAAATTATTTGACCAGTGAATAAAAAAGTAAAAATCCCCCAACAGCTACACAAAAAACAGGCATGCCCACATAATTAAGGAAAATAAAAATAATTATAAACGGATAGGGTAAACAGTCTCTTGTTTATCGTGTGATTTAAGGCAAGCTCTGTACATTAATCGGCTCAATAATTAAATGACCTAATCAATCATAGCTAATGGTGTACCTTTCACAAACTTATAAACCTCTATGTTGTTGATGTTCACTAATTGTCCTCCTATTTTCGTGGTCGTCTGAAAGATTTGAGTCTTACAGTAATCCTGGGCTTGCGTGTAGTTCCTCTTGTCTGGCACAAACTTCATGCAATACTTGCTGGCGGGGGTGGTAGGTGGCGTTACTACACAACTCTGGGGGGAGGGGACAAGACACGGGTTTTATTTGTGTGGGGGGGGGGAGCGGGGTGGTAGGTGGCGTTACTACACAACTCTGGGGAGGAGGGGACAAGACATGGGTTTTATTTGTGTGGGGGGGGGGAGCGGGTGGTAGGTGGCGTTACTACACAACTCTGGGGGGGGGGGGGGAGGGGACAAGACACGGGTTTTATTTGTGGAGAGAGGAGCGGGGTGGTAGGTAAAGACTGACTATACACCGGGTTTTGTCTCATGTGTCTGTTGTACTGTGTGTCTCATGTGTCTGTTGTACTGTGTGTCTCATGTGTCTGTTGTACTGTGTGTCTCATGTGTCTGTTGTACTGTGTGTCTCATGCAGAGTTTCTTCCAAGCATCTCTTCGAACCCCCCCCCCCCCCGAACGAAATGGAATTTATATAGGATATATATATATATATATATATATATATATATATATATATATATATATATATATATATATATGTATAATATAATATAGATTGTTGTCCGCCCCCGCCCCCCCCCCCACCCACCACCCCCCCCGAAAATTTTAAGTGCACCCCCGGAGAAAACAGTCTAGAAGAAACACTGGTCTCATGGTTCTGTGTGTCTCATGTGTCTGTTGTACTGTGTGTCTCATGTGTCTGTTGTACTGTGTGTCTCATGTGTCTGTTGTACTGTGTGTCTCATGTGTCTGTTGTACTGTGTGTCTCATGTGTCTGTTGTACTGTGTGTCTCATGTGTCTGTTGTACTGTGTGTCTCATGTGTCTGTTGTACTGTGTGTCTCATGTGTCTGTTGTACTGTGTGTCTCATGTGTCTGTTGTACTGTGTGTCTCATGTGTCTGTTGTACTGTGTGTCTCATGTGTCTGTTGTACTGTGTGTCTCATGTGTCTGTTGTACTGTGTGTCTCATGTGTCTGTTGTACTGTGTGTCTCATGAACTCTATGTGTCTCATGTGTCTGTTGTCCTATGTATGTTGTACTGTGTGTCTCATGTGTCTGTTGTACTGTGTGTCTCATGTGTCTGTCGTACTGTGTGTCTCATGTGTCTGTTGTACTGTGTGTCTCATGAACTCTATGTGTCTCATGTGTCTGTTGTCCTATGTATGTTGTACTGTGTGTCTCATGTGTCTGTTGTACTGAGTGTCTCATGTGTCTGTTGTCCTATGTATGTTGTACTGTGTGTCTCATGTGTCTGTCGTACTGTGTGTCTCATGTGTCTGTTGTACTGTGTGTCTCATGAACTCTATGTGTCTCATGTGTCTGTTGTCCTATGTATGTTGTACTGTGTGTCTCATGTGTCTGTTGTACTGAGTGTCTCATGTGTCTGTTGTCCTATGTATGTTGTACTGTGTGTCTCATGTGTCTGTTGTACTGAGTGTCTCATGTGTCTGTTGTCCTATGTATGTTGTACTTACTACTCTGACAGACGAATCCAAACATTTTGACGTTGACACATGGAATGTCATTCCACTCTCCAGAATTGATGTACATCTCCGTACACTTCTCTGACAGGTTCTTATAGAAAAACGTTGGCTCGCCGCGCCGCCATTTTGAAAAGTTGTACGGAGTGTTGTCTGTCCAGACGAACTTATTTTCTGTGGGTTGGATAATGTTAGAGGCTCGTTGATTGGTCAGATAATGTTAGAGGCTCGTTGATTGGTCAGATAATGTTAGAGGCTCGTTGATTGGTCAGATAATGTTAGAGGCTAGTTGATTGGTCAGATAATGTTAAAGGCTCGTTGATTGGTCAGATAATGTTAAAGGCTCGTTGATTGGTCAGATAATGTTACAGGCTCGTTGATTGGTCAGATAATGTTAGAGGCTCGTTGATTGGTCAGATGTTAAAGGCTCGTTGATTGGTCGGATAATGTTAGAGGCTAGTTAATTGGTCAGATAATGTTAGAGGTTAGTTGATTGGTCAGATAATGTTAGAGGCTAGTTCATTGGTCAGATAATGTTAGAGGTTAGTTGATTGGTCAGATAATGTTAGAGGCTAGTTGATTGGTCAGATAATGTTAGAGGCTAGTTGATTGGTCAGATAATGTTAGAGGTTAGTTCATTGGTCAGATGTTAAAGGCTCGTTGATCGGTCAGATGTTAAAGGCTCGTTGATTGGTCAGATAAAGTTAGAGGCTAGTTCATTGGTTAGATAATGTTAAAGGCTAGTTCATTGGTCAGATGTTAAAGGCTCGTTGATTGGTCAGATAATGTTAGAGGCTAGTTGATTGGTCAGATAATGTTAGAGGCTAGTTCATTGGTCAGATAATGTTAGAGGTTAGTTCATTGGTCAGATGTTAAAGGCTCGTTGATCGGTCAGATGTTAAAGGCTCGTTGATTGGTCAGATGTTAGAGGCTAGTTGATTGGTCAGATAATGTTAGAGGCTAGTTCATTGGTCAGATAATGTTAGAGGCTCGTTGATTGGTCAGATAATGTTAGAGGCTAGTTCATTGGTCAGATAATGTTAGAGGCTCGTTTATTGGTCAGATAATAATTATTACAGATTTGTGTGATTGTGTTTTCCTTGCGTATAGTTTCAGTTAGTAATGAAAGCTGACCATACTCAGTGAAGAAGTTTGACTAGGGTTCGGTGTCGGGGTAAATTGGGGTTGAAGTGGGGTTTGAGTGAGGGTGGGGTTTGAGTGAGGGTGGGGTTTGAGTGAGGGTGGGGTTTGAGTGAGGGTGGGGTTTGAGTGAGGGTGGGGTTTGAGTGAGGGTGGGGTTTGAGTGAGGGTGGGGTTTGAGTGAGGGTGGGGTTTGAGTGAGGGTGGGTTTTAGATTGAGAGTAGGGGTGGTGTGGTTGTGGGTGAGTCAGAGTGTAGTCATGTTGGGGTTGTAGTTGAATGGGGGTCCTTTGGAGTTTGTGACGTCACGTAAACCCCCCACCTCTGTTGTCCCTGTGCAGGCCAATAGCCAGTGTGTTGCTCATCCCCTCCCTGTAGTCAGAGTTGGTCCTGTAGGCCGATGCCAGCTTGTAAAGAAACTCGTTGTCTACTAGCGAGTGGAGGCTCAGCAGATTCCTGCCCTGCTGCACGCACGTCCTGTTTGCCTGGGTCCATTCCAGGCTAGCGTTGGTGGTCAGGTGGAAACACGAGTCTCTATAGACGGAATCTTGATTGGGACTCGAACACCCTGAAACAAGGTAACTTCATCAACACCAACTTCCATGTGTTGCTGTTGTTTTTGTTTTTTTTTTTTTTCAAAAATACGACAGACATATTTTTACATATGACACCCCACACGTGCCAGTATTTCCTTTAAAAACAACGTCCAAGTTGCCACCCCGCTCATCAACAAATGTCATACCCTGAGGTCACCATGCCCATAAGTCACCTGCCCATAAGTCACCTGCCCAGAAGTCACCTGCCCAGAAGTCACCTGCCCAGAAGTCACCTGCCCAGAAGTCACCTGCCCAGAAGTCACCTGCCCAGAAGTCAGCATATCCAGTGGCGAAGGCAGGGGGGGGGGTGTTAGGGGGGTTCATAACCCCCCCCCCCCCCCCCCCATAGACCCCTCGGTATGTATATAAAAAGTATGAGGGGGGTGCAAATCTAAAAATTGAGGGGGGGTGTGCAAATCGAATGTTGGAGGGGGGTGCAAATCGAAAGTTTGTCTCGGGGTAAAAATTGGACCCCCACCCCCCCCCCCCCTTAAGACGATCCTGGCTACGCCACTGATCATATCAGCCCAATTAAAATGCCCAGCTATTACCGTGCTGGAATTGACAGATAAAAGAATTCTTGGTGGATGGATGCCAGTGCTCCAGGCCGCTTGATGTCATCACATAAGCCTGGGGTGTCGGGCCACTGGGTGTTGGCTCACTACCGGATGTAACACTCAAGTCCTGCTGGTGGATTATGGATTTATTATTTGCCACAGGGTATGCCAAAGGTATGTCAAGGGTATGTCAAACTTTCACTTACCAAATCAACGGTTGGTGACACGAACTTTCACTTACCAATCTTTTTAAAAACAATTTGGTTTTTTTGCGATAACTGAAATACTTTATTACCACAAAATCAAAACCAAGGCTAATCAAAATTATTTTTGATTTTTATAGTTTTTGTAATTAAAGAGAATGTATCATAATTCTAAAGGGGGTAGATAACCCAGACGATGGAAGATTGACGAAAAAACTATTATAAATACACACATACATTTATTTTTTACCATACTAGTTATAATCAAGAAGCTATAAAACAGAACATAAAAGAAAGTCAATGTTTGATGCAAACATTTTTTATACATAATTTTACCAAAACAATTTTAGTACGAAATCTAGGGCTGAAGTTTTCCGAAATCCATGCTCTTCCTGCTGAAAATACTCCAGGTTATGCATAACATAGTAACCTACGCTAGGAACTAGCAGATTTTAATTTTGACAAAATGTGTGCATTTTAGAATTTTTCGAAGTCGGGCCAACCTGGAGGAACCTTTGAAAATTTCTTTAAAAAATTATCACGCACTAGAATGCTATAATGGTAGTTCAAGACCTGGATTACAACGTAAAAAAATTTTATACAAAATTTTAAGTTCTTTACTTATGGTTTCGGAAAATTGTTTACAATAAATTTAGAAATATATAAAAATATAAACAAATTAATTTTTAGTAACATTTTTGCTATACATACACTTCACAAATTACATGCTGTATTATAGCTTTAGAAACGTTACTACCACTGTAAAAATTTAACATGTGTTTGTCTAATAGTGTTGTTGTTGTTGTTGTTTTTTTTGTGTGCAGGTTTTTGTTTTTCTCTTTCTTAGTCTATGTTATACTGCCCCCTTAAAGGGGGAGGAAACCCAAGGAATAAAGAACTGACCTGACCCAGGGAATAAAGAACTGACCTGACCCAGGGAATAAAGAACTGACCTTACCCAGGGAATAAAGAACTGACCTGACCCAGGGAATAAAGAACTGACCTGACCCAGTGAATAAAGAACTGACCTGACCCAGGGAATAAAGAACTGACCTGACCCAGGGAATAAAGAACTGACCTGACCCAGGGAATAAGAGGTCTGTTCGACACGGACTCTTGTAGAATTTGGCGCCATGTCTGTGATAGAAGAGACTGGATGATTAGCAAATAAAAAGTAAACTGTGCACACACAAATTCGATACAAACTATAGAAAAAAAAATCTATACAAAACTAAACGCCAGTGCCGGTCAGCCGAAAAGTCTGCAATGAGGGGGTCAAAACTGCCCTCGACTGATAGGCGCCTTATATGAGTTATATATAAAAAAAACTTTTGCTGATAGACCCCCCCCCTCCTTGATAATTTGTGAGCTGATAGAAAACGCCTAGGGATGTTAGAAAAACCTCGCCATATCCGGGAAAAAATCTATAAAGTGGTCAAAACTGACCAGTCGTATTTCCCCAATCATTGTAATTTATATGAAAAACAGAGGGTAATTTCAACACAGATTTTAGGGTACTTACCGTTTGTACATCTAGCTAATTTTTTGCATGCACCTCTGTAAATGGCTAGGCCGTATGGGAAAACTGTCGGTTCTACTCAAAGCCCTTGGCAAGGGCTAAAAAATGACCGTGAGCGAAATTCTTTTTATATGAGCTATATATCGAAAAATACTTTTGCCGAACGATCCCTCTTAATATTTTGTGAGGTGGTAGAGAAACACATAGGGATGTTAAAAAAAACTCACCATACCTGGGAAAAATGTGTAAAGTGGTCAAAACTGGCCAGTCGTATTTCCCTATTTAATCCTTGCAATTTATGAGAAAAATAGCGATTAATTTAAAGAAAGCTTTTTGGGTACTTAACCTCTGTACATCTGACTAATTTGTTGCATGCCCCTCTATAGATGACTAGGCCGTATGTCGGGCTAAAAAAAATGACAGTAAGTGAAATTCTTCTTGTCTGAGCTATTTATCGGAGAAAAACTTTGGCCGATCGACGCCTCTTGATATTTTGCGAGGTGGTAAAAAAAACAATTAAGGATGTTATAAAAAACGCACCATATCCGGGAAAAATGTGTAAAGTGGTCGAAAAAATGTGCCCTGATATTTTGTGAGGTCGTAGACCGATCCTAGAGGGTAACAAAAAAACTTGATTCCCGTCGGAAAAACCCCTTAGGGTCGTTAAATTTGTCAAGATGCCGTATTTTCTAATATAAGTATACCAACTGTTTGCATATATATATATATATATATATATATATATATATATATATATATATATATATATATATATATATATATATATATATATATATATATATATATATATATATATATACATATATATATATAAATCTGTTGCCATTAATCTGTAAAATATAAAGTAATCAAGGATTTAATTACTCTATAAAACAAAATTATAAAACTCTAATTACTTTTTTTTTTAAATAGCTAATTACTCTAAAAAACAAAGATCTATTTATTCTAGAAAGCAAAAATCGAATTACTCAGAATGAAACTCCCCATCTCCCTATCCTGAACGAAAACTAGATGACCGGCTGACCTGTTGCCGCCACATCCACGAAACGACTGACAGAAAGCTCTAGAATCCTGTTCATTTTTTGCCTGAGTCACGTGCTTTAGACAGGTCTTGCTGGGCTCATGGTGTGTCCAGCCCTCCTCACACGGCTGGTCAGATTTAGCTGAAACAACGGCAACAAGATGATACCTGTAGTTTTAGTTCGTTTTTAATACAACTTTTATTCGTACAAGACATTTGTAAAGTAGCAAAGACAGGTTTTGTCGATGTCTTCAAGATGTCCATCTTTTGATTTCCTGGCTAAGATATTGGCCTGTATCTGGTTTTACACTTGAAAATATCTGGCTCTATTCCGTATGTTCTCAAATCGAAAACAGCATTTAGAAAAAATATTCATATTGTACAAGATGAAGGATGGAAGGTATGATGTCACTAGCAGGGTGATGTTAAGCCAGAAAGGTCATACAAACCCAGGTGTTAAGCCAGAAAGGTCATACAAACCCAGGTGTTAAGCCAGAAAGGTCATACAAACCCAAGATTTAGTAAAAAAAACAAATGGTCTTCAGTTTCCCCACTTACCTAGTTCTTGAATCATAACTAGAACAAAACCAACGTACAATCCCCTGTGTGTTGCAGCCATCGCTGTCTAACTTCACGTGACGTCACCAACAGTGAGTCGACACACCAGTGTGGCTCACTCTACATCACTCAACTATACCACTTCACCCCCCCCCCCACACACACACACACGCACCACACAATATCACTGTGTGTCCAATACGTCAACCCCCCCCCCTCCTATACACACAACACCACATCACTATATGTCCAATATTTCACCCTTTCACCCCCCCCCCCCCCCACACACACACCATCAGTCATTTTGATGACGCCCTACTTGACGCATCCTCTATCTCCGAGCGTTACACGAGTGTTTAAACACTTGAAATCTCGGCTTATACAACAAGAGACGCTAAATCTTGAACAACATCAACACACTAGCTGAATGGTGTACACATCCACCACACATGTTGAATTGTGTACACATCCACAACACATGTTGAATGACATCCACCACACAAGTTGAATGACATCCACCACACACGTTGAATGATGTGCACATCCACCATATAAAATTGTGTGGCTTACCCACACTTAGCCTACTATGTGTCGCGATGATGAGGTGTAGGCCTAATGCATTAACAAATTTGTTTACACATCATCATGTCCACACGGACTCAAATAAATAACTAACAAGTCTTTGGTATGGATATGTTAGTGGGCATACCAGGAGCGTACCCAGGCTGGGAGTGAGAAGAGCAAACAAGACGCCGAAGTATCAACACATTATTTGTGTTGTATATATATATATATATATATATATATATATATATATATATATATATATATATATATATATATTCTGTTTTGTTGGTCATCTTAAAATATAGAAAGACGGGGTAGACTTTCAGACAAAAATGTAACAATATTTTCCACTATACCAGATGACAGATGTGTTTGACTACTAGTTGATATAACATTTATAAAGAGTCAAACTTAAATTATCAACACAGTAGTAAAGATTGCATGCAGAGCTTTTTCTCCAACTTGTTTTTGTAGGCCTGATATTTTACAATGGTGTTTTCTCTATCATGTAACTGACCATAGCATGTGGTCATTGACAGACATAAATCTGTGACTGCTGTAGAAGCGATTTGAAAAAAAAAACTACACTAGCTTTTGCAAGTTCGCAGAATTGAATAAATATTTCCAAGGCGTCTCTGTGTACTGTAGTGAATAGGACAGACAACGAACGTGTTTCAGCTCTGCTTATATCGGTAGTTAAATCTACAATCACGGAGAAACACTTAGCTCTTTATTTTTTTCTATTATCTTCTTTTAAGATGTTGTCTGATAAAAACTTGATTAAAAAAAATTATTGGAAGTTGTTTCAACAAATCCTCTTTCTTAGATTGGAAATTAATAAGCTCCGAAAAGTGGCTGTCATTCGATATATGCTCTCATAAACCTTGGAGTTCACGGTGGCGACAAAATGCTAATCCCTGTTTTCCTAAAGAGACAACTGCATCGATAATACTTTCTAGAGTTACCCTGCTTTTTTTTCTATTTCCTTCTTTTCCGCTGCTAAAATACCACATATTATGATTCTGTTATGTTTTTTTTTAAATCGAAATTTCGCAAGAAAGAGTTTTTTCTCTGCGATCTTGTGATTTTAAGTTTCCTTGTTTTTCAATTTTAATCGGGGCTTTAGCAAAGATTCTGTAACCCACTTTTGGATCACTGGTGTCTAAAAAAATTATTTGTCATTGCTGGATATACTAGAAAATGTCATATTTTATTACAAGCTTTTATTTAACTCACTTCCTCGTCAGTCTGTCTGTCGTCAGTCTGTCTAGACCGAAACGCTTGAGTGAAAATTCGGAAACTTCTACTTGACCGATACGATTCACACTTGGCACGTGGGTCAAGACATGAAGACAATGCAATCTGAAATTAAATTTGACTTAATTTGATGCCTAATTAATTTTTATGAATTAATTAAAATTTGCACCGAATTAGTAGGCATGTCTATCCAACCACACCACACGCGTCATAACGTTCAATAGCTGCGCCATCACGTTCAATGGCTGCGCCATCACGTTAAGTAGGCGCGCAATGGTTTTTAGTCATGTAACTCTATTGTAAATAAAACATGTAAGGACTGAAAAAAAAATTCATAAAAAAACGTTTTAATAACAAGCTTTTATGTAATAATGCACTAAAAAGTAGAAAATAAATTATACACTACTATTCAAATTACTATAAAGAAAACCGTGGGTCTGTTCCTAAACATTAGTAAAGGTATCCAAAAGGTACTAAAGTGACCTACGCTTTTCTTTATAGTAATTTGAATAGTAGTGTATAATTTATTTTCTACTTTTTAGTGCATTATTACATAAAATCTTGTTATTAAAACGTTTTTTTATGAATTTTTTTTTGGATGGTACCGAGTTGACGATGTAATGGATTGTGGTTTTATAATGACACAATGGACGATGAAGCCATGTTTATGCACCGTGTCTTTATTCTGCATCAACAACCGGAACATGACATGCAAGGGACATCACTCAAAAAAAAACATTATAAATATAAGACTAATACAAGAAGAGTGAGTTCCCTTGAATTCACAAGGCTCAATATATTACATCCCTTTACCCTTAGTAAATAATAACATAGCTCTCAAGAGAATGAATGATAGTATCTTTCAATTAACAACACTTCAAAAGTCAATACAAAACATTATATGATTTGAATCATTTGGTAGATTAAATCCTTACAAACAAATGCAAAATATGCTACAACATAATTAAAATACAAAACAATGATGTCAAAGTCCTCTTAACCTTTAAAATCAAAGGTCTAACTTATCTGGGACTTTGATTGTCCTGTTTGACCTTCTCAGTGGCTTTTGATTTGGTGACTCAAGATTCTGACCATCTGGACTCTCTAGCTCAGGAAGTCCAGGATCTAAATCATTAATTCCAGAATTTACATTTTCTGACTCTAGAATACTTGGTTCACTCATATCAACAGACTTTGGTTGTGGAACAAACTGAGTTGGTGTGAACCGGTCAGATCTGGTGGGATTGATAGATTCACACTTATTATCTGCACAAGTTAATTTTAACTGGTCTGAATGTCTACGGACAATAAGTCCATTATTTGTTTTTACTTTATAAGACACAGGTCCTGTACATTGAACAATTTGACCTGGCATCCATTTTTCCCCTCTCCCATAATTTCTCAGATACACATTATCATTAACTGACTCTTCAGGCCAACCATTCTTACAGTACTCATATACTTTTATCAAGCACTCATCTTTTTGTGTTTCTCTCTTAACATCATTGACATTTATATTGGAGTTATCCATGATAGTGAAAAGAACAAATACATCTTCTGGTACATAACTAAGGCTTTGGTTTTTTAAAGGTAAACGACTAAGACTATCTGCACTATTCTCAGATCCAGGTTTGTATTTCAATTCATAATTGTATGCGGCTAGTGTGATAGCCCACCTTTGAACCCTTGGTGAGGCATGCTCAGGCAGGGGTTTGTTTTCCCCAAACAAGCCCAGCAATGGCTTATGATCTGTAAAGATGGTGAACTCCCTACCAAACAGAAACTTGTGAAATTTCTTAACACCAAAAATGATGCCTAAGCCTTCCCTATCTAACTGAGAATAATTTTTCTCAGCCTGGTTCAAAGATCTACTGGCAAAAGCAATGGGTCTGTCACCATTTTCATCTATGTGGGATAAAACTGCTCCTACACCATCTGGTGAAGCATCACATGTTAAGATAAGTCTTTTCCCTGGGTCATAGTGAGTTAGCAAAGTGTCAGAAGACAAAGCTTCTTTTGCGGCATTAAAAGCAGCATCTTGTTGTTTACCCCAGTGCCAAGTTGCATTTTTCTGCAGCAGCTTGTACAATGGTGATCGTTTACCAGACAGATTCCCTATGAACTTCGCATAGTAATTTATCAAGCCCAAAAAAGCTCTTAGCCGTTGGGTATTTTCAGGTTTGGGTGCTTCTTTAATGGCTTTTGTTTTCTCAGGTTGAGGTCTGAGACCAGGTTTGGGTGCTTCTTTAATGGCTTTTGTTTTCTCAGGTTGAGGTCTGAGACCCTGTTTGCTCAAATTATAACCCAGAAAACTAATATCTGTCAGCATGAATTGACATTTATCTTTGTTTATCTTTAAATCCTTTTCACCAACTATTTTCAAGACTTTATCAAGTGTTTTAAGATGTTCAGTGTCATTCTTACCAGTTTTGTATACATTGTCAAAGTAAACACAAACATTTGGAATGTCCTGAAAAATACTGTCCATGACAGCCTGGAAAATTCCAGGGCTAGATGATATACCAAAACAGTCTTTCATATTGGTAGAGTCCCTTATGTGTGTTTATTGTCGTATAGACTTTTGAATCTGGATGAAGTTCTAGTTGAGTGTAAGCATGACTAAAGTCTAATTCAGTGAATTTGTCTCCTCCTGCCAACTTCAAAGAAATTTCTTCAATGTTAGGAATAGGGTACCTATTTAGCTCTATTTGCTTATTCAGTGTAGCTTTATAGTCTCCACAAATTCTTACAGAACCATCCTTCTTTAACACTGGCACAATGGGCGTTGCCCAATCGGAATAGTCTACCTTCTTTATGATGCCATTAGATTCCAATCTACTTAGCTCATTTTCAATTTTGTCCCTCATTGCATAAGGTGGAACTCTAGCTTTGCAGTATCTTGGATTTGTGTCTTTAATGCTTATCTTCACTGTCCTATCATTTAGTAATCCTGAACTACCAAAGACACCTTCATTTTCAGATACAACTGTATCTATTGAAGTAAAACTAGATTCTCTTGCTGTGTTCACTGAAAATATACTCCCCCAGTCTAACTTAAGATCAACTAACCAGTTCCTACCTAGTAATGGTGGTCCTTTTCATTCAACCACAAGAAGAGGAAGTTTAACACTTTGACCATTTTAGCTTACATGAACCATACACTCTCCTATCACCGGAACATTGTCACCTGTGTATGTTGTTAGGCACTTGTGACATGGTTGTAGAGGCACTGATCCTCCTGTGACAGCGTCAAAGTCCTTCTTTGTGATGACGGTTAGAGATGCTCCCGTGTCAAGTTGGAAGATGATGCT